TCTCTCTCTCTCTCTCTCTCCAGGAGCACCGCCGGAGCACTAACATCTTGTCGGAGTACCAACATACCACCATTGATACCGACCTTCGTAACTCTCCGTCCTCTTCAACCTCCCTTCATTTTCGGTTTCTAGAAACACCGTCGCCGCCCCTGTATCGTTGTACCCACTCCGTTTTTTCCTCTTTTCGGATGGTAAATATTTCTCATAACATGGAGTGTGTATCAAACCCATGTTTGAATTGAAATTGAGATACTGATACAAGTTCTTCACTTCTGAATCAGATAGATTCATATATGAAAGAGGTTGACAATAAGTTCTTTCAAAATTGACTATTTGTCCCTCTATTAGAGGTGTTCCAGAAATGTTTGCGATCAAGTAAATAGCTCTACGAACAAATGGATTGGATGGACTTGGAAAATGGAAAAATTTGTATAAGTTATACGTTCACCACTTTGTGGAAAAGCCTTAGGTATGAATATGTTAGATACATGTGACTCGATTGTTGAAATAGTATCTCTCCCCCAAAAAGCATGTTTTTTTATTTTACCGACGCACAAAGAAAATATTTTGTTGCGAATGAACAAGATATCGATGAATGGTCCATACGTAAAATCATAATTATTGATACGGGCATTTTCCACATAAAAAGGGGAATCTTTTGTTACAATAGAAGTAGAAGTGATGTGGGTTATTCAAGAATCGAAGTTGATTTGCTTTATAAAAAAGAAGATATCAATGAACTTTTATGAAATGATTTCACGGGATTCAGCCAATTATATTGATCGTGGAATATCATTGAGAAATAGGAAACCATGTTATCAAAGGATTTCCTGCGATTATTTCTGGTATGGAAGGAGTCAATCATCCACTTTGGTATCTTATTGAACAAAAATTGTGATATTGTTCTTCCATTGATCAAGAATTTAGATTTTTGGCAAGTCTCATGATCATCCAATAAGAAGGGTTTCGGTTTTTTCAAATGAACAATTTGAATACCTATTGATTCTAAAAACGGTGGATCATTCGGACATTTCAATTCATAGATGTAGATATCGGACCTATGAATGAGGATATTCCTGAAACTGACAAACAAAAAAGGAAGTGAGTTAGACAAAAAAAAAAGAAGCAACTTGGACAAAAAGAAACGAAGTGGCTTAGACAAATCTTTTTTTGTCAATAACCTTAGTCGCCACCTACATCTTCAGACGACTATCTATTGTAGATGACATTTCAGATCTAAAAAAACCCTAACCATAGGTTTTCGATCCTCCGCCCAAGCGCCGATCTGTACTTCCCTCCCCCCCCACTATTCAAGCTCCTCAATCGTTTATCCATCCAACCACCGCCATCTGCTCAAGGAGAACCCTAACGTTGTCGGTGAACATGTTTTCACTTTGGCCATATTGTCAAAGAGAGAGAGAGGGGGGGAGAGAGAGAGAGAGAATGTGTGTATGTGTTTGCCGGAGGTGGATATCTGCTCGTCAAAGGAGGTGGACACCGATTTTTATAGATCTGATTGTCGAGGGAGGTGTACGACGATATATATAGACAAATCTGAATGGAGGTAAGTGGTGGTGGATCTGGACGACAGTAGATATGGTAAGATGTGATCGACGGTGGTTGATGGTGGTGTTCCTGCAATACTTGAAAGTGTTGGATTAGGGTTAAAGAGTAGGGTGTGGATGGCGTGAGGTTATTAAAGGGTGTTTAAATTATCTTTTTCTTTTTTTAATTTTTAGTCTTTTTTTTTTGGAAACCACGGATATTATAAAACCACTGTGTAAAAGAAACAAGACAGGGCAAAAACAACAACAAAATTACAAAATGTTAAAAGGGGAACAACACCAATGATAAAGGAGAAAAAAAGAAAATGGAAAAAAAATCAAAAGGCAATAAAAGTTTTTTCAAGTGCATTCAAACTTTCAAGACAAAACTACACAAATGATCTCTGTGGTTCGCTGAAAATTGTCACTTTGGTCCAAAAAGGTTTGGGCTAGCACCATAGGTCCAAACTTTTTATTTTGTTGCCACTTTGGTCCATTTTGGTTTTAACTTTTTTATAATGACGAATATGCCCCTGATATTTACTTTTTTTTTAATTACTTTTATATTACAATAATTAAAAAAAAACAAAAACACTTATTTTTTGAAATAACCACCAGAGAACAAAATTCTTACAATAATCTCTCTCTCTCTCTCTCTCTCTCTCTCTCTCTCTCGGGTTCTGTTTGATAAACACTTAAACTGAAGAACATCTTCTGGGTTCGATCTTCAAAACACATACCCCATAACCATTGATTTTGACAACCATTAGTCACCACCACCATCCTCCACCTCCATCTCCAA